CTCTCTGCCTACGGTTTACCGGGCAGTTCTATTTGACGATATATATATATTATAATTAAATAAAAAATAAAAAAACAAGTACTCCGCGCGGGTTGCAACATACAAAATAGCCGTGCCCAGACTTTCTAGCAGCCCTTGTTTTTTTTTTTTTTTTTACCATAAGAAAAAGGCAAAAGAATTTAAAGAAATGAAATCAAGGAAGGGGAGAGGACGAAGAGAAGAAGTGGAAGAGTTGGTGGCATGACAAAATTGAGTTGCTGCTGTTAATGATTGGACTTAAACCTTTTTGTTAGAGAAACGACGAAACGTCCTTTTTTTTTTTTTTTTTTTTTTTTTTTTTTTATTTCAAGATGAGGAGGGGGTCAGGACCTCAAGGGGTGGTAAAAAGAGCAGCCATCACACTGAACTCTCGTGACCAGCATCCATATGCAGCTGGGGTAATTATTACCGTGTTCAGACTGTGCACCCGATTAGAACGCCCGGCCATAATTGCGGTATCTAGACTGAAAGATGACACAAATACACATACAATGACAGGGAGTTCAATTCCAGTGAAGACGGTAGGGATAATGACGAAGCAATGATCAGGCCCACGCAAGAATTGGCGATGCGATAGTGTCTTGATGAGGAGAAGTCCGAAAACCCCTCTTCTGGCCTCCCAAAAATGAACGCAAAACACAATGACAAGCCCTCTTCTTGCCTTCCAGCAATCAATACAACAACAATGAGAGTTCTCTGCTGTGACTGATGTCTCTACCATCCTTTTTTTTTTGTGTTTTTTTTTTTTTTTGTGGGGTGTCTCTACCATCCATCCTAGGTCATTACCTACTCTGTGGACTACCCTAGCTTTTTCTGTGTTTTTTTTTTGCAATCTATACCACGCTGTGTACATGTAGAATCCCGCAGAGTACAAGGCTGCTCCCACCGATGCTTGACTGCAGAATGTACCACGCGGGGAGCATATTCACACAAGGGCCTTTTCGACTGAACTTGGGACCTAATTACGGTCAGGTGTGGATCCAGGTGAGGCTGTCATTTCCGTCAGATACATGGACAAAAGGCCTAGTGTGAGTATGTCCGGAAGCTCTTCTTGGATGACCACCAGGTATGCCCTTCACCAATCACCTCCTCCTCATGGCCTTCCTCCTCCTCCCGCGGTCTCCTTTCCATGCTCCCCCTCCGTTCCCCAGGTGTTTTCACCCCAGCTATGGCTGCCACTGCCCGTCCGCAATCTTGGTCCCTGGCCAATTGCCAGCACTGCTTCCCAGCCCGTGCGCTCTAACGGCCTACCAGTAGAGCTGTCTGCCAACTTGCAAAACATCTGCAGTCAGCGGCAGCCTCTGTCCTTATGCCAGGGCAGGGCCTGCTGAGATCCCAACCACCTGGCCGGTACCCCGTACCTGGTATCCCGACAGGTCTGACGTGTTCTATTCCAAAAGCCGGCCCTCACCTGTGACTCTCACAGGCCGGGCCTTCACTTAGGGCCCTGCCGCACTTAGGGCCTCGTTCCACACCGCTTACGAATTCTTACATTGTAAGGGCGCCCTAACTGGGCCAGGGTGATTAATTTACCCTAACTTCTTTTTTCGTTCCACAGTCCGTAAGGAAGACCCTACACTTACCCGCCATTACATCTCAGGTGAGGAGGGCCGGGTGTCAGGACCTCGACCTGTCGGGCAATCCGTAGGGTCCCACCCTTACATTTCTAGTCACCTTCGAGGGCCTCCTAGAGATTTTCGTCCTTTTGCCTTGGCCGCCCTTATTTTTTAGGGCCGGACCGTTTTTTTTTTTTTTTTTTTGAAACACAGCCCGAGGTGGTGGTAGTGGTGCTGATAAGAGCAGACAGCACTACCGCTCCCGGGGTGGACCCTAACGGCCGAAAATGTGGAAACGTTTTAGAGTTCATTTTTTCCGTCATTAAGGTGTGGTGGAACGACGATTTTGTAAGAATCTTTACATTTGTAGTGGTGTCGAATGAGGCCCTTAGACCAGTAGTACCTTTCCCGCGTGGGAAAATAGGGAAAACTGGCAGTTTTCCCAAACTCCTGAATATTCGGAGGTCGGGCCCGACGACGACTGCCATTGATAAATCTGATCGGCGGCCGTCATTTCGTTTCGGCCTCTGAAAAGGTCGGACGCCTACCCGAGGCCCGCTATTTTCCCACGCGGCAAAGGTACTAGTGGTTTAGGGCCTCGCCACACCACTCCCAAAATTGGCCAATTCGCGAGTGAAGCTGTGGCCACAACTGCTCTCGGATTCGGGCATGTCAGATATAACACAGGAGCTGTCAGGAACGGGGTCTCGAGAGCACTCCAAACCTTTTTCCTTGCAGGGGAGGGGGGGGCGATTTGGAAGACCTCTGAGGGGGGGGGGGGCGACTTTGCTCCGAATTTCGGGAGCATGTTGCGGCCGTCAGGGTCTCTATTGTCATCAATCTGGCAGTCGTTGGCCCACTGCGTAGAAGAAGACACCTTCTCCTCAATTCCCAAATTCAAGGGTTGGCCATTTGGGAGTGCAGTTGCGGTGACGAACCCTTCTGACGGCCATTTCCCAAATCCTAGAGTGAGTTCGAGAACACTCAAGAAAAATTATCGGCATTCCGGGAGTGGTGTGGCAAGAACCTCATTCAGGCCGGACCTTCACTTAGGGCCCTGGCAATTTGCACCTGGGAGAACCACCTGGCCGATACCCGGATGGGGTATCGGAACCGGTCTGACCTGGCCTTTTCCAAAAGGGGGAATTGCAGAAATAGGGTAGGGCCTGCCCTCATTGGTCCCAGGCCGGGACCTCACTCAGAGCCCTGCGACACTTATCTGGGCTAGGAGCTTCACTTAGGGCCCTGCCACACTTATAAGGGCTGGGAGCTTCACTTAGGGCCCTGTCGATGTGCTCCTGGGAGGACCTCATGGCCTCACATGGCTCCACAATCTATATTCATGGGGAGCTTCACACACGCTAGGAGATGGGCCCAGTGTCCCATCTAACAAAGTAATGCAGATTATACACAATAGAAAGGGTGGTTTAGACACATGAGTAGCCTTATAATTCTGTCTTATGGATTCTTTACTGTTGTTGCACCCTCTTTTTCTGTTTTTCTGGCTCCTTTCTCCTTTCTGAACATCTGCTCTCTCTCTCTCTCTCTCTCTCTCTCTCTCTCTCTCTCTCTCTCTCTCTCTCTCTCTCTCTCTCTCTCTCTCTCTTGTCTGTGGGTAATGTCGCAGGTTGTCGAAGGTGCAAGCCACGCGCAGCTAGCTCAAGCTTTACTGAGAATTGCACAAACGGAGGTAATAAAGTCCCTGGCTATGTCTATGTGTAATGAAAATTGCTCAAAGACTGAAGATAACGGGGTTCCCAATAAGAATGAAGGTCAGACAGACTCCACAAGACCATTTCTATGGAAAGTCTCTGTCTACGTCTATAAGCTGGCTGTTTCTAGGTCTGCGTTTTGCAGTCTATAACTTTGTTTATGACATTGTCAAGTATGACTGTGCCTATATCTAAGGATGTGAACCTCACAAAACCATATGTTAAGGATTTGAACCTCACAAGACTGTGTTGTGTTTAATTGTAAAGTCTATGGCCACGTCTCATGCCTACATTTTTTGAAAGCGGTCACACTTGTGTTGTTTATGCTATGTTCCTGGCTATCTATGTGTCTATGTAGATCTGTGTGGTCTCAAAATCTATGTAGGTCTGTGTGGTCTCAAAATCTGACTATGTGGTATGTCTCTGACTATTCCTATGCAGGTCTGTTTTCTGAAACCTAACTATTATGTCTAAGCAGGTCTGTGTGCTCAACTGTCATTATGTCTATGCTTTGAAGTCTGACTATATCTCCGTCCCCCGAACACAACGCACCCTCATCTTAGCTGTACCGGACCGGAAATATAGCTTGCATATGTTCAATTTCAGGGTGCGCTATGTTCAGGGGAAGACGGTAGTAGGCTTTGGAACGTGGTTATGTCTATGTCTCCTTTGCTTTCAGCGAAATAGTTTTTTTCTTTTTTTTTTTCCCAATTTTAACGGATGTCCCGAGAGACTTCCTTGCAAGGATGACATGCATAAATCAAGAAATGGTGAAAAAAAAGAAAAAAGAAAAAAAGTGCAAGGAAATGACCGAGAGCGATAGACAGAAAAACAAATTGCAATATCACACTGAAGTCCAGATAGTTGTGTACCAAGCAGAAAGCACAAGGGCGCCAAAGGAATCTAACGTTGTAGACTTGGTGGCTTTGGAGTACTCTTGGACAACCTACTCCTGGTCGGGATTTCGGTCTGGATCTTGGTCTGGATCTTTGTCTGGAGCGTGGTCCCCAAGGGCGCCAAAGGCAAAAAGCCGTTCATTAAACCACCACTACCTCCGAGCCTCTTTTTGCCAAGGCGGAAAAGAACTATGCGCCAAGCTTTGCTGAAGCACCAGCGTGACCTTTTTTTGTTCCTTGTCTTTTGGCTGGCGTGGCCAGCCATTTCGGTCCGGAGGCACCCATCCACCAAGGAATGCGGTGCATGGTATATTTGCGTTTCGAGTTTGCCTGCGAAAGGTAGTGGTTGTTTAAGAAACAGATCTGTGCCAGCGGCTCGAACATCTGGGCCCCTTCCGGGCATCTGTGCGTCCATACGAACAACCAAGACGGGCAGCCGGGCCCGGTGCAAATATGTGTTGGGCCCGATATTTCCCTTTTGAACCATCAAAAGATCACGTGATCAGTGCTGGTGCTGCGTTGCTCCAGCAGCCTCGTGCTGTCTACCAACTTGTAAAATATCCCCGGTCTGCCCAGGCCTGTCGGGATCCCAATTACCTGGGCCGGCACCCCGGCTGGTCTGACCCCACCCTTTCTCAAAACAGGCCGGGCCACATTTTTGACCGGTGGGTGGTCCTTCACTTAGGGCCCTGCCAAACTTGTTTTTAAAATGCTGGGTCGAACACGTAGACCTGGTAGAGGAGGAGTTGCCAGCCCTGGAAATAGCCTGGGTTTGACCAGATTGAACCGGGTTTGACCAGATTGAACCTGAGTTAAGTACCGAGATTGGACCAGGTTGAACCTTAGTTGGGCGAACTTATATAACCAAGGTTGAAATGGGACTGAAACGGGGACTGAAAAACGGGACTGGAACAGGACTGAAATGGGAGGACTGAAAAGGGAGGACTGAAACGAGATTGAAATGAGACTGAAACGGGACTCGAACGGGAATGGGAATGAAACGGGGAACTGAAATGGGACTGAAACGAGACCAGAAACGGACTGAAATGGAACTGGAGTGGGACTGAAATGGGACTGGAACGGGATGGAGACGAGACTGGAACAGGACTGAAGTGGAAGTTCAACTGAAATGGGAGGACTGAAACGGGACGACTGAAACGGGACTGGAATGGGAATGAAATGGGGAACTGAAATGGGACTGAAACGAGACCAGAAACAGACTGAAATGGAACCGGAGTGGGACTGAAATGGGACTGGAACGGGACGGAGACGAGACTGGAACAGGACTGAAGTGGAACAGAAATGGGAGGACTGAAACGGGACTGGAATGGGAAAGAAATGGGACTGAAATGAGACCAGAAACGGACTGAAATGGAACCGGAGTGGGACTGAAATGGGGCTGGAACGGGTGGAGACGAGACTGGAACAGGACTGAAATGGAACTGAAATGGGAGGACTGAAACGGGACGACTGAAACGAGACTGGAATGGGAATGAAATGGGGAACTGAAATGGGACTGAAACGGGACTAAAATAGGACTGAAATGGAACCGGAGTGGGACTAAAATGGGACTGGAACGGGACGGAGACGAGACTGTAACAGGACTGAACTGGAACTGAAATGGGGTTGAAACTTGGAAACGGGGATTGCAACGGGATTGGAGCAGGTTTGAAAGCGGAAGTGAATCAGGATCGAATCAGGTCCGAGGGCGTCGTCATGCCCCCTCGCCAGATGTGAAAGGACTAGACAACATGTCGAGCGTAACTTTCCACCTTCTAGCTGAAGATGCACTCACCGCTTTGGCCATTGATTTTGTGCTGCGAGGGCCTGAATCTGGATGAAGTGAGGGGTTCACTCAGGGAATAGATGGATTCAGGGTTTAAGCAGAGGATTAAATTGGTCGGAACTGAACCAGGTGTGAATCTGAGATTGATCCCGGCAGAAGGTGTTTGAACCTGGTTAATCCCAACTGCTGACGAGGACAAACTCATTTCTCCAGAGGCCAAACTTTCTTTTTCCCTCCCTCCTTTTTCTCTCCCTCCTCTCCCCCGTCCAGGCTGAACGTGGTTCTTATGCCGGTGCCAATCTGCTTGTTTGTTCCTTGTCAGCTTGAAAACCGGCTGGAACACGTTTTTTCTGCCAGTGCTGATGCTGCTATTCTTTGGACCTCGTTGAACCTCATTCCACCCTGGTTCAAACCTCAAACCTTGTTCTTACCTTGGTTGGCAACGACCAGTTTCTTATGTGAATTCCCTGATGGAACCTAATAGGGTAAACCTGGTTTGATTGTTGTTCTCCTTACGCTAGTGGCAATGTGCTCGATTGCTTTTCTCCTGGTCTAATAACCTGGATTGAGTCTGTAGATAGAACCTGGTTCAGATTCTCAGACCTTGCTGGTGGTGATGCTGGTGGTGACAATGGTTGAACTTGGTTTAGTTCTGGCTCTCCTTACTCTGATGGCAATCTGCTCAATTCCTTTCTCCCGGTCTAACCTGGTTCGAAGCCGGTTTGAACCTGGTTTGAACCTGGTTTGAACCTTGTTTGAACCTGGTTTGAACCTGGTCGCAACCTGGTTTGAACCTGGTTTGAACCTGGTTTGAACCTGGTTTGAACCTGGTTTGAACCTGGTTTGAACCTGGTTTGAACCTGGTCTGAAGCTGGTTGCACCTGGTTGGAACCTGGTCTGAACCTGGTTTGAACCTGGTTTGAACCTGGTTTGAACCTTGCTTCTCGTGCATAGCCATAGTTTGCAGTGAGTGAACCTGGCTTGAACCTTTCTGTTGATGACAATTTGCTTGTTTGTTCCTGGTTTAACCTGAGTTGCACGTGGTTTGGACCTTGGACCTTGCCTTTGAGCCTTGCTCGTAGTACACACCATGGTTTGCACAGTTCAGTGAACCTGGTTTGACACTTGGTCCCTTATGAATGAAGACTTTGTGCGGCATTGTGTGTAGGGTGCGGATGAATTTGTTGTGGGACTTCCGCTTTTGGCAAACGGGCAGCAATCTGAGCAGGCAAGGAAGACGCGTTCATTCGTTAACGTGCTAGCGGTTGCAGCAGCACAGAGGTATGGGCCAGATGACTTCTTAAACATCTTCATAAGTTCATAGGCATTGTTGAGATTATATGGTGGAGAGTGGAACCGGTGTATGTTTGACCGGCTGGGTGCAAGAAAGGTGTGAAGAAAGGAGGGAGGAGAGGTGGGTAGAGGTGAAAAAGGGGGGTATCGTTTTGGGGGTTAGTAGGAAGGATGGAGGGGGGGAAGGATATGGATTGAGAACGCATATGATTGGGATGGGGGGGTGGTGTTGGCGGGGACAAGGATGGGGAGAAGATAGGAAAGGGAGGGTGTTTAGTAGAGGTGGAGGGGGTATCATTTCAGCAGGGGGCTTAAGAGCAAGGGTGTAGAGGCAAGCACATGGATCGAGGAGATAAAAAAATGGCAGATGATACTGGCTGTGAATGTTTGGCCATGGATTGCCAATGTACTACCGTCTTTCCCTTGAGTTCAGTGCACCATCATCGTGAATGTATACAAGCTATCTTTCCAGTCCCGTCTGCTAAAGATCATCGATTGCCAATCGACTACCGCGTACAACGCACCCTGATCATGAGTGTATCCAAGCTATCTTTCCGATCCGATACGGTCACGAAGAGGGTGCATTGCATTTTGGGAAAGACGGTGCATCTTGTGATTCGGAACCTTGTCCGGTTCATTCTCTCATTCAGATGCGCTCTGTACAAGTATGTGGGTGCTCTGATCTCGCCGTGAGACTATGCAAGGCTATATACTATGGAATGGTACTATGTAATGGTACTATGTAATGGTACTATGTAATGGTACTATGTAATGGTACTATGTAATGGTACTATGTAATGGTACAATGTAGTGCTATGATACTTTGTAATGATGCTATGTAATGATATTATGTAATGATAATGACACTGCTGTTGACCGCGGCAATGATACTATGTAATACTCAAATGCTATGATACTTTGTAATGATACTTTGTAATGATACTGCTTTTGAGTGCTGTAATGATGCTATGTAAGACTATGTAATGAATGTTGTGTGGCACTATGTGATTGATGATGATGCCGTTGAACGCTGTGAAGTAAATGTGGTAGCGCCAAGGCGGTTCTAGAGAAGTAAAATGTCTGGTTCATGAGTGGAGCCGGCAGAAGCGTCACAGATGGTACACTCCACGCATTACATTGTATCGCATGGTACCACGTAGCATCAGATAGTACTCTATATAACTGCAGAGTATCTACCGATAGCACCACTGCAGAGTATCTACCGATAGCACCACATAGTACCTATCAGGCTATCACACAGTATCGCATAGTATCACACTCCATAATATTGCAGAGTAATCTACCAATAGCACCACATATTATCACAGTCTGACATAGTATCAAACAGTATCACAGAGTATTGCACACTGTAGTCCGGAATAGTGTGCCTGACATGGAACTGAGTGTCCGTGCTTACATCCAGCCCACTGTTCGGCATTATGCGGTGCCTGACGTGAACCCGAGTATTCATTTCTGGATCCTGCCTTGCCCAGGTCACTTCAGTGCTATTACCTTCAGGGATAATTCATGGACCTGAGTATTCGTAATACCTCTTACCATCATCGAGTGACGCTGTCCCACTCAGTCTGGCTCATCAATAGGGAACAGTATGCAATTGCGAGCTCGCAAGCTCTGCTGCTTCCAGAGAATAATCCTTCTGACCCTCCCCTCTCCCTTCTACCTGGCGAGACTGTGGCACTTGCTTATTTAGATCAGATTAGAGACTGACTTCACCCCTTTTTTGCATGACCCCCTATTTCAGCGGTGCATCACACTACGTGAGCACGCATGGGTGCGCTTGCCGCTTGCGCTGTGCGCCGCTGCCGCATGGCGTGCGCTGCAAGTATGAAAAACACCCTTTCATGAATCACAGCCTGTGAAAGATTAGCATAATCAGTGCAGGTTTTCCGTTTGTCCCTTCGAGACTCCAAAGTGTAGTGGTTTGAAGGACCCCAGTACCTCCAAGCCTCCTCTTTTTCCCGGTGCAGATTTTCACTGTGTGCCGAAGACAAAAGAACCGCCGCTGGTGTGCTTTTTTTTTTCCTGTTTTGGCTGGCGCTGCCATTCATTCTGGTCTGGTAGCACTGTTCATCCGAAATCTTTCGGATTGAGCGAATCCGCCGAATCATCAATTCTCAAGTTGCCAGAGCATTTGGTTTCAAATAAAGTCAAACGGTGCTGGCTGTTTAACGGACTTTATTAGGATTCAAATTTCAAACAATGTGGCACTCAAACTTCTGTGACTGCAAAAAAATCACTGTTTGACTTGTTTTGAAACTGACCATTTTCTTTAGAACTTTGACCAATTCTTTGACCATGGACAGTGGCAAGGGTTGACTCAGCTCTGCAAGTCAGCAGCAGAACACTGCACTGGGTCTTCTGTATTCCTACTTCGTAACAACTTCTGCCTTAAGGGCAAAAGAATCCAGCTCTATGCTGGCTTCCACTTTGTTTCGCTTTTTTTTTTTTTTGGGTGATGTGTCAGTGTTTTATTTTTTGTGTTCGTTTCCTTTGTCCTTCTGGTCTCTCTCTCTGTCTGCCTGGCTGCCTGGCTGTCTCACTTTCTTTGTTTCTCATGCTATGTTTCCCTCTTCCCTCTTTCTTTTTCTCCCTCTCTTTTTCTTCTCTCTCTCTCTCTCTCTTTGTCTGTCTGTTTCTCTCTCTCTCTCTCTCTCTGTCTGTCTGTTTCTCTCTCTCTCTCTCTCTCTCTCTCTCTCTCTCTCTCTCTCTCTCTCTCT